AACTGCGTATATTCAAACAGAAAATACAATAAAAACTATGATATGCATCACTCCCCTACAGATAAATGTGCTGTATTTAAATTTTTCCAAGCTAGACATACATTAAGAATTTTATTCTGAATTCTTAAGGACTCAAATAAAATTTATGAGTAGCTACATTAAATAATTTAGACCAGAAATAGATTTTAGACAATTTGCGTACAACAAAATTACATTTTTCTAATGATACTGATTCAGGATTAAACATCTTTCAAACGAACATAAGGATCATTTATAGGAATGTGAATGAAATCCATGCCTTGTTTGACATACTAGATTTCAAATTTGAAATTATAGTGCTAACTGAAACATTTAAGGAATTCCAAGTTACGATTTATATTATAAAGATGGCAACTTCAATAAAAATGACGGGGTTCTGATTTACGTAAGACAAAATTACAATAGTCAGTACAAAAATATAAATATAACTCAAACAAAACTTGTTACAGTTATTCTTTATAAGAATAACAAACGGATACAGGTCATTGGTGTATAAAAATCATAACATCATTTAGCAGTGAATTACATGATTATCTAGAGGGGAATAGAAAAGTTGACATCAAACTACTCAAATATAATGGCTGGACATGGTTACCTGCCAGGCATTAACGAAATCACAGGAGTACAGGGAAACAATGGGAGCTGTATAAATCATATTTTATATATATATATAACTTAACAAAAATCATATTCAACAATCTTTAAGTACAATATTTTTAACCGTTTACGTACTTTGTCCTATATCGAGCATTGAAAATCTCAATGCTGAATGCACCAAAACAGTAAAGATTCCACGCACGGAAATAAAAAGACAAACATGGCTATCAAAAGGGATTATTACCTTCATCAATAGAAAAATAGAATTATATAAGGAAGCCAATAAAATTGGTTGAATCTGTTGAATGAAATTAAATCCCGTTGAAACAGACTGACAAAAACGATTAGAGAGGCTAAGATAAAATATATAAAGGAAGAGTTTGCTAATCTACAAAGTTGTTTGTTCAAGATATGGCAAATTATCAATCAAGTACACGACAAAAGACAAATCAAAGTTAGTACAATTAAAAAAGAAAGTGGTGAACTAGTCAGTAATGATGTAAATATAACAAATGAATGTTGTGAATATTTTTCAAAAATCGGTAAAAGAAAACATAAAAAATGCGAAAAATTGAATTATAATAGGACTAGACTATATAACTCATATCTAGAACCTACCGATACGCACGAAATTAAGACAATAATCAATTAATTAAAATTAAGGAAATCTCAGGCCTAGCATGTACTCTCAAGAGGATAAATTTCATAATCTTCGGCATAGTGACATATTTGACAAATTCTTGTATGAATAATTGAATATTCCCTACATGTTTAAAACACGCTATGATAAAGCCATTATTTGAAACCAGATAAAGAGAAAAACCCAACAACTACCGACCAATTTCCATCTTTAGTAATTTTTCTAAAATATCTGAAAAAGTGATTCACCTAATTTGCAAAAATGTATAATTTAATGGCGGAACAGCGATATGGCTTCAAGAAGGCAAATCTACTCAAAATGTTATTGTAGAATCAACAAGTAACGTATACGAGTATCTCGATATTGGCAAACCAACTGCATGTGTTTTTGTTGACATGACAAAGGTATTCTATTACTCATAAAATCGCTTTTAACAACTTTAGAAAATTTGGGTTTTCGTGGCGTAAGCCGAACACAGTGGGTCAAAATTTATAATCCATTTAGTGAACCCCATACGTATCGTATTTAATCTATTTATTAACGATTTGTTCAAAATAAATATTGCGGTTAAAGTTACCGGTTTTGCAAATAATACATCTATTCTCTATGAAAGTAACCAGTGGAATATACTAAAAACCAAAATCGAAAATGATTTCAAAACATTATATTTTTTTTTGAAATAACTATGACAATGAATTACAACAAAACACACCATATAGCATTTTCTTGTGACCCTAGTCTCTCACCATAATTTGGTAAGCTTGAATTTCATACAAGCAGTGGTCTCAAAGGGTTTCAATGAACCGATAAAACAAAATACCTAGGCGTAATTTTGGACATGAAATTCCCACACAGTGCCTGGTGAAAAGACTGAGATCTATTATTCCAAAATTCAGATACCTCAGAGATATTCTAGACAAGACATACCTATATAATCTGTATTATGCTCTTGTCTATCCTCTATTACTTTACGGAATTTTGGCTTGGGGGGAGTTATGAATAATAACCTCAGACAGGTTGATGTAATCCACAAATTAATTCTAAAGTTGATTCTCCAGAAGGTCATTTATCCAAGTCGCTATCTATACAGGGTGACTTCGAAGTTGAGTCATTTATTTTAACAGTGAGTAGATCTGATCAAAAGAAATGTTTTTTTCCTTTACCATTTTCCTGGTAAAATTAAAGTAACAAAGTTATAGCCCTTTGGAAGGTTGAGTACCGCCCTGTCTCAATAACAATATTATGTGGTCGTGTTTGGCGACAACGGATATAATCCGCCGTATCGGTTCATCGCATCGGAAACAAAAAAGCGAAAGAATTTGGAACGATGTTTTTTCAAGTATCTCATTCATTTGTATACAGTCAGTGACAGTGAATGGTGGTATCTGTTGCGTGGCTCAAACGAAATAAAAAATGGCACATGTTTATGCGGATCGGTTTCCCAATCGAGTGCAACCAACCCCTCGTGCCTTTGTTAATGTAGTACAACGGGCTCGTGAATCAGGTGACTTAAGACCTCAGAGGGGACCTCACGATCAAATACAGGTCCGCACTGAAATACTTGTCGGGAGGATACTTTATAAAACAAGGTAAACATTTTTTTTTATTTTTTTTTTATTTTTACACACATATTTTGGTTTATCTTCCTTCTACAATCATTATCTGAAAATTAATGACTCAACTTCAAAGTCACCCTGTATATAGAAGCTCAGCTATTTGATTGCAGACACATTTATTTTCATTGTGGTATTGTGGTACATTATACAGGTATTAAGCATTCGAAACACTTGAATCGTATCATTCACAACTACAGAACAAGATTCAATTAAAGTTCAATGTGTATTCCACAAACATCAAAAACCTTTACACAACGATCTCTTTTTCTTGGTACTTTAAGTATGTTGTGCATAATATTCAGGATTTATCTGTACTTTGGCAATAAACATTATATTATGAGAGAGAAACTGGACTGTCCGTGAATAAAGTTTTATCGATCAATAGGATAACCCTAACCTGAATTGCATTTGATACTACCCGGCAGCATCCCACTCATGTGTTATGTCATATAACGTGTCAGCCCTTGTACATTGTATCGAAAAGTATTTTCTAGGTCTACATAGTTACCGCAGTTGATGGAACGCGTCCGTACCACAGAAACCAAAATACCAATGCTCCGCAAATAATACATGGAGCTTGAAAATACCTTGCTTATCCGATTTTGGACTGCCTAAGGTGAGTAGGACAGGAGAAAGCAAGCAGGTTGTTTCAGTCTGGACACCCTATGAACAAAGGAGTAGTCGCAAAGGCCAGTTTCGAACTTGCTAGGCAGAAGCTAGAAGGTCAGTGTAACAGATTCAATGCGCGGCAGCATCATGGAAGCGTGATCTAAGAAGCAAAGTCCGTTGACATAGTTTTAAAAGAAGCAGATCGATAAACGCCCATCAGTGTTGAAAGAGCCCTGTGAAATTTGCACACTGATATTCATGGTCTGCTTAACATCTGTCACCGTGAGCAATCCTTCGCGAAAGTAGCTATTCAGAATTGCGACACGATGACATTTAGACGTTATTGAAGACTTTTTTACATCCGCCTTTGGAATAGACATTATTTTCTTCTCTGCTAATGGCTGATATGTGCGTCATTGCATCGTTTATATGATGTTCTAGCTGCTAACTCTAGGGTTCTGGGGTTTCACAACTAGTATCAGTTCAGCATATTTCCACTTCCTTGAGAACCAACGTAGCTTGGGATATCCCGCTAACTAAACTCATATTTGCTTAGTGCGTTCTATCACCAGTTAAAAATGAGTTACCTACTCTCAGCTCACCCTGTATATATAAGCAACTGTGTTCTTGATGTTTATACAGCGGTATATAAATTTCCTCATTATGAACCCTCGAAAATGCGGCATAACGTATACATAAACATGTTAAATCGTTATTAGGAAATATCCAGCTTGAACGAGCTAACGTAGCGTGGCATGGTGGAAAGGGCGCCATTACAGACCTCCATTACTTGCAGGTGTTGTCCTCACCAAAACGCCGCTGCTGGCCTGATATAATGCCCGATGTAACGCTTAAAAATGCTATTGCGACCAATATATTACAACCCTCGTCCATTATTCTGAGCAATTTATATATCTGGCAACAGTTTTGCATAGCGCCTTTCACTAGTATACTATGCAGGTAACCATATATTCCTGAGCGCTCCACAGGATTCGAACCTGGAACTGCGGCTATAATTGTCCATCTGCAGCTAAAAAATTTCATCATGTAGGTTAACTCCGTATTTCAGTCATCCTTCAGATTATGTTCGGCTTATTTCGAGACCCAACGCCTTATGAACAATGAATCACAAAAAATCGATTAAAACAATTGTATGTGAGCTATAAAGTCCACCTTGTTGACACAAAGTTTATTCGAAGGATTCTAATAAAATTGGAATCTGACTAGACGTACATCAATAGATGCTCATTAGAAACTTGTGTTACTACTGTATCTGAAATTCTACAGCTATACACTTCAAATTGTGGTAAATAAATGTGATGAATCTTCAAACTAGACATACATTCTTGATGCGCCACTGGTACTGGTACTACCGTGTAGCCAAGGGACAAGGAATGCGGGCGGTGGTGTCGGACGAGAGAGGCGCGGGGAGAGGAGGACGCAAAAAAAGAGAAGAGCGTGGTTTTTACGACCGATGTGCGAGGTATTTTTGGGGAGAATATTTTGGAGAGAAGAATAGAGTACATGATTATTGATCCCGGGCGTTTTATTCTTGACAAATCAGAAGTGGGATTATTCACGTGCCGTACAAGTTCTACAAGTGAGTGAGTCAAAATGGGGAAAACGAAAAGGCGTAGTTCTTCTAGTTCATCCTCTAGCTCTCAGTCCAGTTCAAGTTCTTCGACGGACGATGGAAGGAGACATCGTAGGCGAGTAAAACGTTTACGAAAAGAACTCAAATTCAAAAACAAGTTTTTAGAGAAGCAACCTGTAAGTACTGCATACAGTAGTTTAAATATCGATGAATCGCTAATACCTGAGTTTAACCCCTCAAATAGACAATGTATAGACTGGGTCAACAAGGTTGATCAGTTGCGTGAGTTATACCAGTGGGATGACCAATTGACAATTAAATTAGCAACAAGCAGACTTCGTGGAAATACTCGGAAATGGTATGATTCGTTAAACAATCACTGTACTCGATGGTGTAATATGAAAGTTATGCATTTAGAAATATTCCCTTCGACTAGGAACTTTGGAAAATTGTTTAAAGAGGCAGCAAATTATGTGCATTTACCTAATCAAAAATTCAATGATTATTGTTTTGAAAAATATGCAAAAATGACAAAATTAAATTTGCATATTAATGATGTAGATATTATAGATTGTATAATTGAAGGGATAAATAATGAAAATGTAAAGCTAGCAGCTAGAGCTGCGAATTTTCAATCGGTAGGTACTATTTAGATAGTATTATAGATATAAATAGGCAAAAACATATTGCTGCTAAACCGACTCCAGGCACGTCAAAAGTTAATCAAGAGGTGATAAAATTGGAAGGAAAGGATGGCAGTAAACGCAGAGTACTATCGTGTTATAATTGCAGAGGTCCACATATTGTAAAAAATTGTCCTAAGCCTATAATAACGTGTAAAAATTGTAAAAAGGTTGGCCATTATTCAGAGCAGTGTAGACTAAGCAAGAAAAATGAATGTAATCAGATTTCGAAGTTAATTAAAGAGTCTTTAGCAAAACGTTTAAAGATGCGGCTAACTAGAACAAATGAGTGTGTAGGACTACGATGTTTTATGGGTAATTATGATATCTTGCGACGCAATCAGCAAAATCAATGTAAATATCGACAAATCAACCGGCGAAGTAAATGCGTTCGTTTTGGCGGATAAATACTTAACTTATGATGTGATTATTGGTTGCGATTATTTAAATCAGCCACATGTTGTCATGCATAAAGCCGGCGACACCTTGCGTTTTAAAAATGTTTCTACCGTGAGCGATATACAGGGTACTACGAAAATAATTGAGTATGATAAAATAAATTTTGGTAATATTTCTCAGGGAGAAAAGGACAACGTGTATAGTCTTTTAAAAGAGTATAGCGACACGATCGCATTTACCTTAAAGGATTTAAGAAAAACCAATTTAGTAGAAATGAGTATTAAATGTAAAACGGAGGAACCAGTCATTTATAACCCATATCGCATGTCAATTCAAGAAAAAAATATTTTAAATGATTTGTTGCAAGAGTTACTTATTAATGGTATCGTACGTGAATCTAGCTCTCAGTATGCTAGTCCAGTAGTACTTGTTAAAAAGAAAACAGCTGCATCTGCAGGCGTTGCTGAAAACAAATGGGATACGTTTGTCAAACCGGTGCAATATGCGATGAACACAACTTTTAATGCTGCAATTGGAATTACTGCAATGGAGTTATTGGCTGGATTCAAGGGACATAGCCTATCCGAAGGCAATGATGTCTTGAGTGCAGTGAAACGAGAGCTAGAGCGGTGTGACTTGAAGGCACTTAGGAAATCTGTTGAACACAGATTGTCTGTAGAACAGAAAAAGAAGAAAGAGAGGTTTGACAAGACTAGGATACAAGCTAAAAAGTATCTAGTGGATGATGTCGTCATGGTGTTGAAGACGGATGCACCGTGTACTGGTGCCAGCAGAAAACTGGTGCCGAAATATAAGGGACCTTTTAAAGTGACGAAGGTTCTCTATAACGATCGATACGAGGTGGTTGACCTGAGAGAAAACTACAAGAGATATAAGACTGTAGTTGCTGCAGATAAGATGAAACCATGGATCTTACTACGTGGTAGGTATAAAATGTTATATTGCTTAAAGAGGGTCCAAATATTAAAATTTTTTGGCCTGCTTTAATATCTGTTGGAACAAGGAAAAAAAATTAATGATGTTTTGTTGTCTGTTGAGATGCGTAGGCTCAAACAACAAAAGCAGTTTATGATGTTTTGGTTGTCTGTTGAGATAAGTAGGCTCAAACAACAAAAGCAGTTTATGATGTTTTGGTTGTCTGTTGAGATAAGTAGGCTCAAACAACAAAAGCAGTTTATGATATTTTGGTTGTCTGTTGAGATAAGTAGGCTCAAACAACAAAAGCAGTTTATGATATTTTGGTTGTCTGTTGAGATAAGTAGGCTCAAACAACAAAAGCAGTTTATGATGTTTTGGTTGTCTGTTGAGATAAGTAGGCTCAAACAAAAGCAGTTTATGATATTTTGGTTCTGTTGAGATAAGTAGGCTCAAACAACAAAAGCAGTTTATGATATTTTGGTTGTCTGTTGAGATAAGTAGGCTCAAACAACAAAAACAGTTTATGATATTTTGGTTGTCTGTTGAGATAAGTAGGCTCGAACAACAAAAGCAGTTTATGATGTTTTGGTTGTCTGTTGAGATAAGTAGGCTCAAACAACAAAAGCAGTTTATGATATTTTGGTTGTCTGTTGAGATAAGTAGGCTCAAACAACAAAAGCAGTTTATGATATTTTGGTTGTCGGTTGAGATGAGTAGGCTCAAACAATAAAAGCAGTTTATGATGTTTTGGTTGTCTGTTGAGATAAGTAGGCTCAAACAACAAAAGCAGTTTATGATGTTTTGGTTGTCTGTTGAGATAAGTAGGCTCAAACAATAAAACGGTTTTATGATATTTTGTTGTCTGTTGAGATATAGTAGGCTCAAATAATAGAATGGCTTCGTGATGTCTTGTTGTTTGTTAAGATAGAGTAAGCTCAAACAACAACATAATTTGATGAAGGAAGGCTCATACAACAGAATTACTTAGGGACGTTTTGTTGTCCGTTAAATTAATATAATTAGAGTTTTAATTATATTTGGTTATAAATTAATAAAAGAGAGTATGAATTGTAAGTCAAAATGCTAATCAAGGATAAATTGAAGAACAGCTAAAGTTAGGCTCAAGTGAAAGCTCAAACATAACAGTGTAAAATTGATACGTTTCAGTGTCTGTTGGGATGGTTGATCAATTCGAATAACCATTCAAAGTTCAGCACGCTAAGCCTTACTGTAATGCAACTTAGCACCAACATCATAAATTAGATTGATCGTTTATTTATAGATGCTGATTTTTCTGGGTCTGAGGACAGACACAGCAGCAGGATGGCCGAATGTGATGAATCTTCAAACTAGACATACATTCTTGATGCGCCACTGGTACTACCGTGTAGCCAAGGGACAAGGAATGCGGGCGGTGGTGTCGGACGAGAGAGGCGCGGGGAGAGGAGAACGCAAAAAAGGAGAAGAGCGTGGTTTTTACGACCGATGTGCGAGGTATTTTTGGGGAGAATATTTTGGAGAGAAGAATAGAGTACATGATTATTGATCCCGGGCGTTTTATTCTTGACATAAACTTTCATATTCCTTTTTCAGTGGCATCCATAGGCGATATTTATCAATATTATATCTAACAGGGATGTAATATTACTGGGATCCGACACTTCTTAATAATGGATCGTCAAATATATATATATATATATATAAATATAAATATATATGTAAATATATATATACAGGGTGACTTCGAAGTTGAGTCATTTATTTTAACAGTGAGTAGATCTGATCAAAAGAAATGTTTTTTTCCTTTACCATTTTTCTGGTAAAATTAAAGTAACAAAGTTATAGCCCTTTGGAAGTTTGAGTACCGCCCTGTCTCAATAATAATATCATGTACTCGTGTTTGGCAACAACGGATATAATCCACCTTATCGGTTCATCGCATGGGAAACAAAAAAGCGAAAGAATTTGGAACGACGTTTTTATTTCATTCAGTTCAGTTATACATACATTCAGTGTCAGTCGCGTGTGAATAGTGTCTGTTGCGTGGCTCAAACGAAATAAAAAATGGCACATGTTTATGCGGATCGGTTTCCCAATCGAGTGCAACCAACCCCTCGTGCCTTTGTTAATGTAGTACAACGGGCTCGTGAATCAGGTGACTTAAGACCTCACAGAGCACCTCACGATCAAATACAGGTCCGCACTGAAATACTTGTTGGGAGGATACTTTATAAAACAAGGTAAAAAATTTTTTTTATTTTTTTTTTTATTTTTACACACATATTTTGGTTTATCTTCCTTCTACAATCATTATCTGAAAATTAATGACACAACTTCAAAGTCACCCTGTATATATAAATATATATATATATATATATATATATATATATTGGCTTGAGGTCGAAATCAAACTGATTATCGCTCAAAACACTTGTATTGCACACAAATAATTCAGATCTCATCATGTCAACAGAACGTTCATGATTGACCGCTGCAAAAACCAAACAAAACTGGTCAGGCATCCAATGTTTTTATGAACACCATCAAGTTAAGCGCGAGCAGACTGGCTCGGATACATTTATCGGGTGAGACAAAATATTAAATAATATTGATCATTCCTAACGCGGCCATCCTGATCTCGTACGCCCTCGTGCGCAAAAAAAATATTTCAATTATCAGTACAACAAATAAACATATCAACCATTTAAGGTTCCAAAATTAACATCACAACCATTAAGGTTCGAATCATACTACTTAGATCTTGGATTGTTATGGTGCAACATCATATTCAAAACATTCTTAACGTAGTGTTAAACACCATTTGGCCCTTTGATTCGAAATAATACGGCTAACTAGGTGCGTAAAATATCAACTTATCTCAACCATCTAAGGTTCTTTTTTTCAAAACATTCTTCACGTAGTGTTAAACACCATTTCGCACTTGGATTCGGAATAATACAGCCAACCGTCTAAGAATCTTTTTTTTCTTATTTTTTTATTAACCAATTTTTATATTATTTATTCAAAAGAACATAAGTCAACCATTTAAGGTTCGAGAATACACATGTCAACCATTTAAGGTTCCAAAGTAAACATAAATCAACCGTCTAAGGTTCCAAAAGGACACAGCCAACCATCTAAGTATCTTTTTTTTTATTTTTTCATTAATCAATGTTTTATTATTTATTCAAAAGAACATAAGTTAACCATTTAAGGTTCGATAATAAACATGTCAACCATTTAAGGTTCCAAAATAAACATAAATCAACCATCTAAAGTTTAAAAAGGACATAAGTCAACCATTTAAGGTTCGGAAATAAACATCCGGATACTTGAGTATTAGCTCTCTCTTACCAAACATAAATAAATTGGGGGTAAAACCAATCCAAAATAAGAAAAATGTCACAGTCTGTGGCACGCACGGTATATCCCACTTCTGATGTCGGCTTGAGATCGAAATCAAACTAATTATCGCGCAAAACACTACTTGAATTGCAGACAACAATTCAGATCTCATCATGTCAACAGAACGTTCATGATTGACCGCTGAAAAAACCAAACAAAAACTGGTCAGGCATCCAATGTTTTTATCAACACCATCAAGATAAACGCGAGCAGAATGGCTCGGATACATTTATCGGATGAAACAAAATATTAAATAATTCTGAACATTCCTAACATATATATATATATATATAAGTTATATATATATATATATATACAGGGTGACTTTGAAGTTGAGTCATTAATTTTCAGATAATGATTGTAGAAGGAAGATAAACCAAAATATGTTTGTAAAAATAAAAAAAAAAAAAAAATGTTACCTTGTTTTATAAAGTATCCTCCCGACAAGTATTTCAGTGCGGACCTGTATTTGATCGTGCGGTCTTGGACCACCGGCCTGCCCTCCCCTGTGAGGTCTTAAGTCACCTGATTCACGAGCCCTTTGTACTACATTAACAAAGGCACGAGGGGTTGGTTGCACTCGATTGGGAAACCGATCCGCATAAATCCGTGATGCCGCGTAAATAAGAATCATGTCAAGTTCAGCGTTTTCGTAAACATGTGCCATTTTTGATTTCTTTTGAGCCATGCAACAGACACCACTATTCACTCACGCGTTACCGACTGACACTGACTGTATACAACTGAATAAAATAATTGTAAAAACATCGTTCCAAATTCTTTCGCTTTTTTGTTTCCGATGCGATGAACCGATAAGGCGGATTATATCCGTTACTGCCAAACACGAGCACATAATATTATTATTGAGACAGGGCGGTACTCAAGCTTCCAAAGGGCTATAACTTTGTTACTTTAATTTTACCAGAAAAATGGTAAAGGAAAAAACATTTCTTTTGATCAGATCTACTCACTGTTAAAATAAATGACTCAACTTCGAAGTCACCCTGTATATATAAATGAATCGCTATTTCCCATGGTCAGGCCATAACTTGAGAACAACTTTACCGATTTCATAGAATCTTTTTTTTTTAGTTTCCTAATACTGTATAAAAGGTTCTTACAGAAAAAAAAAATCAAGAAAATTGCGCAGAAAATTTAAAAATAATTGAAAACCTAATGACTATTTAAGCTACGCGCGTATGACAGTTTGTGCATGGAGCACGTACAGCAGCCATCTTCATTCCAACAGCTATTGAAAGTTAGCTTTGTGAGAGAAAATTGCTTACGGAAACATGATGCTTTCTTTTTTGGACTTTCATTTCTTTATCATCCGTACTTCGTGATGGCCACTTCAAAAAAATGCAGTGTTGCCCGATTGTTATCTTTGTCAGTTAACTCCATGAATAAAAATGGCTGATGAAAATACGTTTCTTTTGCCTAATTAACTTTCACTATCCTATCATTTTGAACTTGACAGCTAGCACGCCTCAAATTCATATTATCGTTTAACAATGTTTATCGATGAAAGCATATTTTTTTATTCAATTAGTAGTGCACAGTCCATTCAATTAGAGCCTTTATCCTGTTTTCAGTTTGTTCAGTGGGTTTTTAGAGAAGTATTTGTTTGAAAATAATTAACAAGTGTAGAAGATAGTTCACCGCAATTCACGCCTTATATTAAAATTGTGATCCTTTGTCACCAATTACGGTAAGTTACCAACCTAGGTCGCAGAACTTGCAATCCTGCAAGTCAAAGGTATATACGAATAAGTCAAACTGACGATCAGCGAGAAGTGAGAAATGAAGTTGAACGAATCGTAGGATTGAAAATCAACAACGTAGAGGTGTCGCACTTAATCAGAATCGAGCTGCATTCAATTATGACGTGGCAATCGATTACAGTTCACAACAATTCATTGCTATTGGACCAATGAACGTTGTGAGTCCACATTGCAAAGCTTTCAAGTTTAAAAATGAAGCCCCTGGATTATGTTGCGTCAGTGGAAAGATCAAATTGACTCCACTGGTACCACCACTAGCAATATAATAATTGTTTTCAAGTGACGCCATTTGGCGCAACAAAATTCATTCCACATAATTTTATGCCTACTTTCAAAGTAAGTTGATGGGGGAATGACAGTACTGCCAACGGATTTTTCTAGCCACATGGCGGTAAAAAACTTCGCTATGCAATTACCTGTATTCCATATATTTAGCCTTTTATTATCCATTATTCATCAAAGTTCATAGCTAAGACAGGACAACGTCTGTCGGGTCAGCTAGTTCTCTGATATAAATCATGTCTTCAGTTTATGCGTCTTTTGCATAGTACGTCAATACTGGTAGCACTTACTCAGTACTCCTATGAGTGACTATAGGACTCTCTTGTGAACAACTTTATACGGCTCCTCAGAGAAATGCCGGGAAACTACGATTTCCTGCTACCTGCAATTGGCATAGGAGGTAGTATCACCTATATTTTCTGTAAGTAATAAATGACATGAAAAATTTTGACAATTTTTGTGGAAATAGTAGCATGGTTCAAGAATACAACAGCCGTTTCATATGTGGCTGTGGCATAGAAAATATCCCAGCGGCTATTTGTCAAAGTTATATTACCTTATTACCTTATTACCTCTCCACTCCAGAAATATTTTTTTTTCATCTTTTCGGGACTTCAACTGCGGTTAGAGAGCATGCGTTAGAACCCATGTTTATAGAACTCGTTTTAACGTATGTCCTAAAAGTTTTGGCATAAAATTCATTGGCTTCAATTTTAACAAACACAAAATAATATCAAGTTTCCTTTGGAAATAAAAGTTTGCTTACTTATGTTACTGTCAGTTGACATTTATTTTTTTTAAGACGGCGAATTTACAAAAAAACTGAGGAAATTGGTATAAATTCCGTCCAGGACCTCATGAGAGACATTCGCAGAAAGTTGCCTCTGGTAGAGCAGAATGGGCAACTCCACATAGTTTGATAGAGAAGTTTAGTTGAGTATTGAGTTGTAATTTATGACAACTAGTCAGTGTTTAAATGAATTTCTTCATTCAAAAAAATCCGAAAAATATTTTGTGCCAAAACATATACTGTTTGACCTGCAGTGTGCTTTAGAAATATTACAATTGTTTTTGGTAGCAATAATAATAATACTGTTAGATTAACGAGAGTCTTTTGATGTGTGATACTGTGCTTATACAAACAGCTACAAATGTTTCCCTGATCTATACAGGTTCGTGAGCTAGGATAAGACATGCAATAAGACAGGAGAATGGATATTCCTTCTTGCTTGGTTTTACACGTGGAAGCTCAGAATCGACGCCATCTTTTACAGGAGCACTGACACTATCAATAGCAGTAACAGTCACCACTTAGAGAATAGAATAGAAATAATAACTGTATATTTATCTACTTACTGGGGAAATATCTGTATAAAAAACACGTTAGACTCGAGGAAAGCTACCATCAGCGACATATTTCCCCTCGATAACAACAGCTCTGAGGCGTTTCGCCTGTTTATGACCATATATATCGACGTTTCTTGAGATTTGCACAGAGGCGAAGGCAAAACCCCTACGGGATGTCAGATATAAGCAGTTCTCAGATATTATACATTGACACTGACAGCCTTTTGTCGAAGTTAATTGTTTACTGACCCTAGGTTGGAGAGTCCACTCGAACACTATCTGCAGTTTGGATAGGTCCAAAAGCAATCTGGTCGATAGAAAATAATAGGAATGGTGTGGAATATCCGATATTTACTTTGCTTGTTCTTCGCTTAGAAAAAATTTGAACAAAACAGCTTATTTGTGTATAAAGTGGTGTTTTAAATTAGCAAGTTGAATTTCCTAGCATAAATGGGCATACAGCTATGATGACTTCACTCCTGTTATATGTATGTCATTATCAAAGTGAATGTGAAATTCAGGTGCCTAAAAACTGTTATGCATATTTATATTCCGAAACACATCTGAGCTTGAATGGAATATCAACACGACACCATCCAAAAACCTGGGTTCTAAATAGAAAAAAGGCGATGGAAATTTTTGATCCGTCCTGACGCCACCGTAACTTAACCTATAAAAACGCGTTAGGTCTGTTAGATCAGAGTATCCATCACAAGTCATTGAATGACGTTCTTGTACTTCATAAGCTATTCATGTAAGTGCTTTAAGCACATGCGTGTTTTTGGTGTACGCATTAGAAGTACAACATGCTAAATTTACAGAAAAATTGTCAACATTCATTCAAGTTTCGTACTAAAAAATCAAACATTTTCTCGACCAGGCGACGTTATCACCCTCTTCCCCCTAGGATCATACTTTTGAAAAATATTATTTTTTTCAATAAGTGTTCAAAATGTTGCCCGTTAGAGTTTTCTAAATCCACAATTCGTTTATAATTTAAAACAAAAACTACCAACATAAGCAGCAATTCGGAAGGTTAGACGTGGCAACAACCAAATAACAACCCCCATTTTTTCCGCATTCTTTTCATCAACACAGACATCCTGGGCGAACTGTATTTATTGTTATACTTGTTTAGTTATAAGGGAGAGAAAGAATTTAATTTGCTGTCAGTTACTTTTGCGACAATCTTGGGATAGTGAAAATTAATTTATTGATTCAGATTTTACTTCCAAAATGATTGAAACGCTAGCCGAAAGAGTGGAAATGATTCGAATTTATGGTGCGTGGCTAACTTTCGTCATGTTCAAAGCCAGACATCCAGGGAAGATAACTTCGCATAGGTAAATTTTGGACCTTGTTACTAAATTTACTCAAACTGAATCTGTTGCAAATAAAAACGTGATCATCGGAGAGTTTTGGATGAAGCCGCTCAAGTTGAAGTTTTGAGTTATTTTGGAATACATCCTAATACTTATTACATTACGCAAAATTGTTGCTGCAACTGGTATTTCATTAGGATCTGTACACACAGTTACTAATTTCCATAAATGTCATCCATTCTAAATGAAAATATTGCAATATATACCTATTATCCAAAGATGATTTCGATAGGCGGGTTGAGTTTTGTAAACAAATCACTGCACCGATTAATGATAATACAATAATTAATGTAAAGAATATCTGCTTCAGTGATGAATGCA